GAGCACATATGTGTTCGTCCCACACAGATCCCGTCTCTTTGCTAGTCCGTCTGGGAATAAAACCTGGGGATTACTCACCCTGACAAGGCCAATTATGTGCTTTTGTCTGGAGTCTGCCACCTGCCTGTTCAGCCAACTGCCACCTCTCCCAAAACCCGACCAGGACCATTTTCCTGCTCTGGGAGTCGTGGGGAATTTACCTGCTGCTCAACATTGGCCCAAGGATTGATAATAAAAGCAAATAAGCACGGTGTTTAAAAGACCACAAACCCAGAACAAAAGCACTCCAAATTCTTCACTTATTTGTATATTTGTGCAGGAAGCTCATTCCGTAGTCAAGAACCACCTCATCCATACTTTTTGTCAAACCACTAAATTATTATTCTTACAATTATCTAGTAGATTCTTCCGGGACAACAGTATCCAACTAATAAAAGTTGTTGTTTTTGTTTATTTTTTTAAAGTTTTATTGTGGTATGTGCCGTTATCCCTTTTTATGGATATGTTTGTGTTTGTAAATCTTTGACATTTTGTTGCTTCCTAACACCACAAGAGAAAAATTGACTTATAAGGTACTTAATCCGTTCCCTCTGCTCTGCAGCTAAAGACGTAGAACACCCGATGCATGATTTCAGGATATGTCCTCCAGACCCGAAACAGCTGCTGTACAAAGAACAAAACTTTGCCAGGTCATGGGTGTCCCTGGCACTGTTGGGAGCAGGGCTGTGCGATAAGGAAACAAATATGTCTGTCTGTGTAGCCTGCAGGCACATGCAAACATTACAATACACCGGTCTCCAAAAGTATCCACAGCCACTGAACATCTCCACTATTTGCCACACTGCAACAAATTTAAGTTGAAATGTTTTGTAATAAACCAACACAAAGTGGTAAATAATTGTGAAGTGGAAGTAAAATGATTAATGATTTTCAATATACTTCTGAAGGCAATAAGATACACCAGAATTTACTTAGAGGCATTAGACTAAGAGGTTAAATACATTTGCACCCACATTTTAAAAATGTTTAATTGTAAAGTAAAATTGTGTTCAGCTTTGTGTTGGCTTATCACATAAAATTATATAAAGCAATACTCTGTTTGTCATGGAACTCCACATTATCATTGCCCTTTATAGGATTCTCAAAACAAAGACTGTCAGATTAGACAATGTTATAAATCTAGCTCATGTTTCCTCAAAAACTCTTATTAGTTAAACTCCTCATTTGCTCTCGTTCTCCATGTTGATCAGTGTGTCGCTTTTCTCCCAGGCGACATTCGCAGCCCACATCAGAGATATAAATAGCGATGGACAAAGTCAATCTACAGACAAGAAGAGACTTACAACAAGCCAGACCTGAGCAGAGGAAAAAAACATTCCCATCTTGATAGGAAGCTTGCTGGAATTTCATGTTACACAATATTATAGATTCAAATCCTCTTCCCACACTCTTCTCGGTACAATCTAACGTTTTTGCCTTTCACGAACTCTTGTTTTGCTGTCATTATCATGAAATATGCCAAGCAACTATGACTTCGCTGATTGACAATATCAGTTAGCAGTTTGCAATACATCCTTATTTTAGCTAAATTCAGAGGAATTTCAGAGCAAAATACTACACATGATAATGATTTTTTTTTTTTGAGCAGAACCAAATCCATGGAGACAATGATATTAACATCCCAGAAAAAACAAGAATTTAATTTGTTTTTCCAAAGTTGTGGATTTCCCAGCAGCTGCTATTTTAGCTGAAGGAAAATAGAGGCTTTGATTTCTGTAGGATGTATCCAAAGAGCCTGTCGTAGATATTAAATACACTTCTATCCAAAAGAACCTTGAAGGACCTGAGATAATAATTTAAGCAGTCAGCTCAGTTGGTACACTCACCCCACAAACTCTCACTACCATTTGTGAGATATGCACACATTTATTTTAGCCTGGGATTATAAGAACCATGTGGGTCGTAAAACCCAGCAGCAAAACCACAATGTGGAGTCAAAAGCTTGCCAGAAAAGTCTTAAATCTCACACAGAGAAGTAAACAGAACAGTGAAAGTTTTTTTTCGGGTAACAATTTTTAAAAATGCATAGTTGCCAAACAAGCAAACATGTTTCAGTTCAGGCTTCTGCAAAGGTCGCACTGCGCAGAGTGAAACTCGTGTACAAGAAACCAAACATGACAAATGTAAATAGTTTTGCGTGGAGAAGCTGGATTTTTAAATAAATTTGTGACTTTGTCACTCAGTTCAGAATGTATTATATAGATATTGCACAAGCTGACACTTCTGTGCCAAAGGCTGAACGTTTCAGTGTTGAGATGTTGCAATTCAGAACTGCGACACCACATGCCCCTGTTGCATTTGCTGGAATAACAAAGTTATTTTCAAACACTTTAACTAGGGAATACCCTGGGGAAAAAAACAGGATAGAGGTAAAAAAAAAAAAAAGGGGGGGGGGGGGAAAAGTTCCTTTCATTTTCTTTAAACTTTTTTTGGGGGGAAA